CACGCCAATCGCGCGCAAAGAGTCGGCCAAAACTGACGACTGGCCGACCGATAACATCAATCCGAGCGTCAATTGCCGTAATTGCGGTAATCGTGACAATTGGCCGCACATTTCGGTCATACTCTCGGTATGAGTGAACCAACAATACTTTACGGCCAGACTCTGGAGGGACTGATTCGCGGCCACGAATGCAGACCAGTGTTGGTTAGAAGCGTCGATATAGTCTGAAAGGTAGTACAACTCGAGTGAATGCAAATGTTTGGCCAGTAGTATATCGGGCGACACGTATTGGAGATCGATGTCAAACACGTCTTCAATCTTAGTGACCGCCAAATGTGACAATTGGTGGCATTGTGTGAGAGCTTCGCGCAGACCATCCGACCCGACGGCACCGATTCGGGTGACCAGTGGTCCAAATGTGGCCAAAGTTTGCACAATGTTTGGACACAAAAAGCAATAAATTTGCCGCAAATGCCGGCAATTGTCTCGAAGTGTATGCAATACTTCGGGAATGTCTTCGAGATAGTCCTTTATTCCTCGGCAGTCAATGGTCTCAATGTTTGAACATTTTGTGACGATTGTGGCCAACGTTTGTGTATTTACTTTACGCATAAGTTTGTCATCAATAGTAATGTCCACAACACTGCCGAAGACTGTCCTCTGGAACTGTTTTGACACACATTCGTAACGAAATCGCTCTTTGAGTGAGAGATAAGATAATATGAGTGCACACATGTCGTCACCGAATCTGTCCATTGAGTTCTTCGCGTAACTCTTTGGCTAAAATGTGAGACAAAAACAGTTAAAATTCAATAAATAGTCATTTGTTTTTGAAATACCTGTTGTCTGTCTTCGTCTTCGCCATCATCTGTGGTCTCGAGTGATGTCTTCAAGTGTTTCATCTGTTGTGTCATATCTTGGGATCAAATGAAGTGATTGTTTGAATGAATTGTTTTTGTTATTCACTGCAAAACATGTGATAATATTTGCATTCAATGAAAGCCAACACAAAGTGTTGACAACGAGTGAGACATCTATTGACACATATTTTCATTACTTTTGGTAAAACTTTTTGCCCACACTTTCAATGAGTGTTTTAATTGTATTTCAAATATACAATTAAATTAAAAATTGCATTTATTTAGAGAGATTTTTATATCAAAATTAAAATTAATAATAAATAAATAGTCAATAAAAATAGAGTAATAAGTAATTTGTAGAGAAACCGTTTCTTTTTAAAAACTAAATATTAAAGTATAAAGTCATTAATATTTTTCTTTGAGTAACGCTAACAGACCTGTTTGTAAGCAAATAAATTAAACATTACACTTTAATATCTATGAAATCAACCAAAAACGCTTCCAAAACGCTTCCCAGCGGTTTCCCTAGTAATTTGTTAAATTAACGCATTGTTTAAAAATCATTTGTTTTATTAACTATTAAGTTTTATTTACTTCAAAAATATTTAAGTTTTATATAAATGACATTTAATTGCGAAAAATATTACATTTTTATTTTTCATTACATAATTAGCAAAAATAAGCATTAAATACAAAACATGTATGAAATGAACGCAATATTCAAACAATATTTAATAAATTTAATAATAAAACACTAAATATTTGCCACATTTTTACTTTGAATAAAACTTCTTCGCATCGTTTGCCAGAACTTTAATAGTCTTTAGTTTAGGACTTTTGGTCAACAAATGCGAGAAATAATTATCCAAATGATCGACACTAAGCGGGCAGTGAATGACAAGCATTTGCAGCGCCGGTAGTCTTGAGAGGTGTGACAAACACTCGGTGTCTATAATGTTATTCATGTTTTGAATGCATAAGTATTGAAGTCGCGGACACTTAATGTGCATATCTTTCAACACATTTGCTGTCATTCGCGGCAAATCCAGCTCTAAATGCGTTAATCCCTTGCAGTGTCGCAACGGATCCAACAACTGGTCATCGATGGCCACAATTATATGTATATCCAATTGTCTTAATCGTGAATAAAATCTCAATGAATCCAATGATATGGGGAGTGAGGGGTCGACGCCATTCTCAATGGGAAAATAAAACAAATCCACTGACAATCGTTTCAATTGTTTACAATTGACACCAATTGTACGCAAACACTGGTCAACCACTAAAGAGTTGGGATCGTTCGGTAGACCCAATGCCAACCCGAGTGTCAGTTCCCGTAATTGCGATAATCGGGACAATTGTCCGCACATTTCGGTCATATAGTCGGCAGAAGGGAAGACACAGATACTGACGGCCAAACTCTGGAGACATTGATTGTGTGCCACGAATACAGACCAGCCATAGGGCGAGTAGTTTAACGTCTGGTGTAATGAAAATGTGCGCAAATTTGTGGCAAATAGTGTGGTGTAAGTGGTGTTAAAAACTTGATTAATTTCACAAATTTTCAATTCTGACAATCGGTGGCAATGAGTGATCGCTGAGTAGTCTGTATAAGAATTAATGCCAGTCAACGCGAGTCGTGTGACCAGTGGTCCCAAAGTAGACAAAAATTGGACGTAAAAATTTGGCAACAAATTGCAGTAAATTTCCCGCAAATGTTGGCAATTGTCTCGAAATGTGAACAAAACTTCGGAAATGTGTTTCTCATATCTGTTACTTATTCCTCGGCAGTCAATGGTCTGAATGTTACCACACTTTATGGCAATTGTGGCCAACAATTGAGTGTCAATTGTCTTCTCATTTGTCAGTAATCTCTGAATAAATCTGTCGCTAAGAGTGATGTCGACAACACTCCCGAAGACTGTCCTCCGGAACTGTTTGGAGAGACATTCGTATCTGAAACGGTATTTGAAGAGGAGATACGACAACAAAAGTTTAAACAAGTCGTCGCCGTATCTGTCCATTGAGTCCTTCGCGTAAATCTTAGACTAAAATGTGAGACAAAAACACAATTAAAACTCAATAAACACTAAATTGTTTGTGAAATACCTTTTGTCTGTTGCCGTCATCTGTGGTCTCGATTGACGTCTTCGTTGATGTCAATTGTTCGGACATATTATTGGATCAATTGAAGTGATATTTGAGAGAACCAAAGAACACGAAATTAGAAAAACAAGAATTTTATTTAAAAATAATTATTCAAACAAAACACAACACGTTATGAGTGGTGGCAGTGATTGAAACAATTGGGTTGAATGACAGACACCTAATGAGCACTGAATTGATTGTTCACTCCTTATACTATATATGCCTTAAATTACCTCAAAGTTTAGTTACAATACTTGGCTTTAATAATGACATCGAGTATTGAAAAACGTGCTGAAAATTTACTCAACTATTGATTACAATAATATAAATGTGTGGAAAATAACTAACAATTAATGTTCAAAAAAGTATTAAACTATTTCGAGATAATATTCACTTTTGATAAAATGTTCATAAAATTTAAATAACATTAACTTTAATATGTAAATAATAAGCCAATAGTTAACGTATGTTTAATTGTAATGTTATTTTTATTATATACTAATTATTAATTAAAACAATAAAATTACATGTTTTATAACACAACTAAATAATTAAAAAAACAACAAAAAACTTTATTTTTATCAATAGATTAAGTATTAATAATTGCATTAATCGTCACTTTAATTATGATTAATATTCAGTTTCGCAAAATTCAATTATTTGTAACAAATATTAAACATTTAATACTGTTTTGTAGTAAAAGCATTCTGGGATTAAGTTTTTAGTTATTTGTAATTTCTATGTTATATAAAGTTTAAGTAGATTAGATATAACAGGTGTGGCCATCAAACAGTTAAATTTATCCATAGGATTATCATTACCTCAATGTAATTACAGTATACTATACAATAAATTGCAATTTTAAAAGTTATATTATTTAAATAGTAAATTTTATGACAATTATTACGAAGTTATAAAATTAAAAATTATTACATTAATTTCAGGGCATTACATAAGTTTCAATTTACAACAAGATTTAATTGTAAAATCCCATTGTTTTTACAAATTAAATGCTGATAGGTCAAGTAAGTCAAGCAAATTACCAAGAAACAGTTTTATATTAGGTGTTTAGCCATAGCATTTGCACCGGAAACCACCTCGGTCACAGTAACCACCTCTAAACTATAATTACCAACAAAGTTAATATAAGTATAGGGTGTACATTAATCAACTATAACATTTTGAAGTCGAATATCTCGAAATATATTCAATCTAGAAATTCAAATGATATGTCAAAATACTCATCAACTGCGGGAGTTTTTGTTATAATATGGTCAATTTGCTTGGACTCATATTATAGAAGTAACCTCAAAACTACCAAATTTTTGCCATTTTGTCCATAGACATAATGTTAAATTCAAACTTATTTTTGAGCAAAATCTTGAAATATATCTCAAGTTATTTTTGCTCCTGTTTAAGAATATGTAATCAAGATTATTGTGCTGCATGTAGTTTTTAGTTAATTAATGATTTTTAAATATTTCAGATATATAAAGTTGATTCAAAACTTTAGTGTGTAGGATTTTGATCACCATTTGGGAACAGCTGAAGTGACAATATTGTCACTTCACACATATATAGTTCCATAGCCGGAAATATTTTGCACATACAAATATTTTTCGTCACGTGACTATATTATTGTGAAAATGGACCATTTGCGAGACTATGGACAAAATGGCAAAAATTTAGTAGTTTTGAGATTACTTCTATAATAAGAGGTCAAGCATATTGACCATATCATAACAAAAACT